GCTGGCTGCCTAGCGCCCCACCTGGGGCAGCTTAGGCTTAGTAACCACCTACCGCGCCGACTCACAGTGCTTAGATCAGAATGTGAACCGCACACTTTATTTGGGAGATTATTTCACGCGAGACAACCCCTGGGTTGTGCAAGATTGTCCCCACTGAATGACGAGCAGCAAAGGGCCCAGATCCCAGTATTCCTGCGGAAGGCTTCAAGGAAAACAACCCACAGGGCTCTGCTGTCCTCCTGGGGCCGGTGGAGGACAAGGCCTTTCTTCAGCGCGCCGGGCTCGCAGCGCCGGCCCTCCGGCCCCTCCCAGCCCACAGCTGCGCGCTGGAAGGCGGGATGGCTGCGGCCCTAATAGAGAGCAGACCTCCCAACCTCCTGCCTCCCTCCCCCACCCTGCACGCGGGTCTTCAAATTAAAAGTAACTAAAACCTGAGCCCCAGCGGAGGAGAGGGGAGTCGGAGGCTGACGACAGCTCTAAGTGGAAGCAGTCAGGCTCTCTCCAAGGAAACGGGGAGCGAAAAGCCAGCCCCAGGGAAGCCTGTCCGTCCACGTCCGTCCCAGGCTCCGGGAGTATGTGGCCCCCTTTCTGCGGGGCGGGACCGCTCAACAAACTCTGGTGCTCGGTTAGGGCCCGGAACTGGCTATGCATGAGGGGCCTTGCGAGGGAGCCCCCGCTCCGCACCCAGGGGAGCTGCGTTCTGGAAAGAGCGCCCAGGGAGCCCAGGACAGACGCCGCCGCTGCACCTTTGGGTGCAGCCGGCCGCCCCGAGAAGAGCTGTGGGCGAGAGTCCTGGACGGCGGGTGACTGACTGCCCCCCAGGTTCCACGGGCTCTTGGGACCCTTCTGGCTAGCTTCCTCCCGCTCCAAGATGTGGGCCGCTGTGAATCGAGTCATGGGGAGATTCCTGGGGGTGGCTTGCGACCCTGCGCTGGGGGGGACCCGAGGCCAGGGCGGGGTCCTCCTGCGTGTCCCGCGGGGACCCCCCTCTGCGCGCCGAGCTTCCCCGCAGAGGGCCCTTCGCAGGTTCCAGGCTCAGAATCAGGGGGGCTGGGCAAGGGCGGCAGCACCGTCGTTTCTTGCAAACGACCAAACGGCCCTTCATTTCCAACCCAAGAAGCCAGAAACTCCCCCCGCCCCTCCCAGCAACCTCATTTGAAGAGAAATTCGCGAGTTTGTTTAAATGTGACTGCGACAACTAACGGCTTTGATTACATCCTTAAGTCTTAAGCAACAGGACCTCCGACTTCTCCGCGGAAAGCGGCGTTGGGGGTGCAGGGGGAGCGGAGAAGACAAAAAGCCGGCGCGGCGGGAGAGGCCCGCTCACCGGGAGCCCGGACCCGGCACGGCCGGTTTGTCTTTGTTTTAGTGACCGCTGGTTGTAAAAAGTTGACGGGACCCTCTTTTCGAAAGTTAACTCACCCACTGCACCCCTTTACGCCCCGGCACCCAGTTTCTTGGCGCCCGCGGGCCTAGAGGCGCAGGGCCACGGCCGGAACCGCGCCCCCGCGTGTCCCCCACGTGCCAGCCCGCTCGGGAGCGCGGCGGGGCCGCGTCCTCCGGGCGCCGCTGCCTGCACTCGGTCCGGGGAGAAAACTCGCTCGTTACCGCCGAGGAAAGAAGACACCCAG